TGAGTGGTAGAACAAACATATGAGTCGAAGTTTATCTGTTCCTTCTTGGATTAGAACCTGATATCTGGGCCTATCGATGATTTTGTTTTGACCTATGTATCGGGCCCGGTTAGAACTAAATTGATGTGTTCAATTAAGTTCTTTTTCAAACAAATTGGAAATTGGGAAACAAACTGGTGGACAATAAGTAATACATTGTTCCATGTATTTGTCCAGCTGATATCTCGAACAGAGGATTATATGATCACTTATCTTAAATGGCGTATCATCATCTTGTCAGTTCCGAGAATCCTTGAAAGAGCTATGATTTCTGATCGGTTCCTAAATTCATACTTGCAGTTATAGTTTTTAGACTTATCCAAGTGAGAGACTGTTGGATAAGGTGTCTAAGTCCATAACTATTTCTGGTATGTACTTGACCCGACCCGACATGGTCCATTTGGGTTGCATGGCACCATGCAATTGGATAGACTAAATGAGAGAAATAACACTTGTGGATTATTAATATATTATAAGTTCTAATATATTAATAATATTATTTAATTAGTTTGATCAAGAATTAATTTAAAATTAATTAAGTGATCAAAAGATAACTAATTAAATATATGGGTTGATTATGTAAATCATCCATAACTTGTATAGTGGGCTAAGAGGCTCCATGGATTATCAAGTTGGGTTCCACCCATAGGATGCTCCATAGGAGTTACAAACCCATGGGTCATGGAAATGAAGGGTCATGACACATTAGGATTTGCATGGTGTAACCCTAGATGTGTCAACACTATATAAGGAACACATGAACAAGTAAGGGCTAGGCCGATTTTTGAAAGTGTAAGATTCTTTCAAAGTTTACTCCTTTGCATTTGGTATTGTGTGAAGCATTTGAGGCATCACACTTGGGGTGATAGGCTCACAAGGTTTCAAGGATCATAAGCAACAACAAGGTAAGTTATTCTATCTTCCATTCAAGTTAAAAATTGTTCCCCGTGTATGCTAGATAGGAATATAACCTTAGAATTCAACTTTGCATGATAATTAGACAAACATAGATCCAAGGTTATTAGGGTTGCATGTACACTTAGGAAGTGTTAGAATGCTCAAAACCCATCAGCATGGCAGTATTTGGGTACCTTATTCGGGTGGGAGCCAACAGATTTTGATGACGAGGTATACAAGTCGAGATTTTCTATTCATCCGGGCACGACAAAGTTGTATCACGATCTAAGACAAACTCTCAGGACATGTATGAAAAGGGCTATAGTTTGGTTTGTGGAGTGATGTTTGACCTGTCGGAAGGTCAAAGCCGAACATCAGCGCCCTCATGGCAAATTGTAGCCTCTGGAGGTCCCATTATGGAAATAGGGGCAGATCACCATGGATTTCATCATGAAGTTACCAAAGACTTCAACGGGATTGGATGCTATTTGGGTGATTATCGATCGATTGAACAAGAGTGCTCACTTTTTAGCTATCCAATAGAGTTCTTTGGTTAAGAAGTTAGCCAACATTTATGTTTGAGAAATGGTTGCTCGTCATAGGGTCCCTACATAGATTTTTTCAGACCGGGATGTCCTCTTCATTTTGAGAATCTAAATTTTAGAAGAGGTTTCATGAGGATTTGGGTACCTAGTCGCACTTTAGCACCGCCTATCATCCACAGACGAACGGACAGATAGAGTGGACCATTTAGAAGCTCAGGGATATGCTTATGGCTTGCATATTGGGTTTTGGTGGAATTTAGGACGTTTACATCCTTTTGGTTGAGTTTTCGTACAACAAATATCGCTCCAACATTGGTGTGCCTCCCTTTGAGCTCCTCTATGGGAAGAAGTTTCAGACCCCAATTTGTTGGGAAGAGGTTAGTCAGAGGGTCATAAAGAGCACAAAGATAGTGCTCGAAACGATGTAGCTCATTCAGTAGGTTAGGCAGAGACTTCAAACAGCCCAGAGTCGCCATAACAGCTACTCCGACCAACACCGATCTGAGTTGGAATTTCAAGTCGGGGAAATGGTACTTTTAAAGGTGTCACCTTGGAAAGGCATCATCTGATTCAGTAAGCAGGGCAAGTTGGGTCGTAGGTTTATTGGTCCATTCCGGGTAGCAAGCAAGGTGGTCTACCGCTTAGATTTACCGGATGGAGTCAGACAAATTCATAGCAGCTTCTATGTATCCTAGTTGCGGAAGAGTGTGGCAGACGAGACAGTCGTAGTACCTTTGGATGATATTCAGGTTGATGACATCCTAAATTATGTCAAGTGGTCGATAGTTATTATCGATAAGAAGAAGAAGACTCTACGAAATAAGCTGGTGGACTTGGTGAAGGTGCGGTGGCAGCACGGGAAGGGTTCTAAGTCGACTTGGGATCCCAAGTAGGAGATGCGTACCAACGATCCTGATTTATTCGAGATTGATGACTTCGGGGGTGAAGACTGATTCTAGTGGGGGAGATTTATAACACCCGGAACCACACGTATGATTTTCCTTGGATTATTTTTGGCATTAAGTGTATTTTAAGTCCTATACAGGGTGTAGGATGGCCTCCTACGCTCAGTGTAGGAGAAAGACTTCATACGGGTATTTAAGGACTTACATTGGGCATCAGTCTAGCTATGCAGCGTGTAGTACACAATATCAAAAACCCTAATTTTCGGGGTTGTGATCCTATTTAAAGGCTCTAATCCGCATAAGGGTCTCTTCATACCTAGCATCCATCCTCCCATCCAGTTCCTTTGAAACCCTAACCATTTTTGTGAGAACCTTGAGGTTTTAAAGTGTTATTGTGTTCACCCTTAAAGGAGAAGACCTTTGGAGAAGCATATAGGAGCTCCAACCCTTGTAGATCCAGATCATTCATCTTGTTTTCCACCTCCAGAAGTTACAAAGTTCCCATCTTGGCAATCTCTCATACTAGATTTAGTTTGTTATGCTTTTTGTCCCATAACTTTGGTTCTTGTGAGTATGATCTACTCCAAACCATTTTAAGATCATCACCTGCTGTTTTTGGGGTTGTTGAATCATAAAGTTGAGATCTTGATCATTCTCATCTACCTCATACATGAGATCTTGAGCATTAGTGCACTTCATGGACTTAGGGTTTAGTTGATGGCTCATTTATGGCATGCAAATGGATAAAGTCAAAGACTTTATCCATTAAGTCATCCTTTGGTTCATATCTGGAAGCTTGAAGATCTAACTTTCTGTATTAAGAGCTTAATGTAACTTTTGGCATTCAGACCGGATGCTTGGCGTAACTCTTGCTATGCTCGAGGTAGCTTGGTTTTGCCCCGTAACCACCTAAGCTCTATGCCATGCGTAGAGCAGATTGTACGCAGGGCGTAGTAGGGTTGACCGTTGAATTTGCCTATTGTTGACGTTTGGCTCAAACTAGGGTTTGAAGGGTGTAGACTGAGAGTGTATTCTTTACTATTGTTAGGTGTCTTCTTGCTCCTGTCTGTCATATGTGTATGTGTGTGAGTTGTTGTATTTGTAGCCGTTATGCGCATGGTGCGTCTTCTCACTACTTTTGCATGTGTGGTATTTATGTTTGTGATCAGCTGGGTCTTAATTGCTTATTATTGTTATATGTGAGTTTAATTGAATTGCTAATAACTTCTAGATTGCTGAAAATCCACAGGGTTGCTGATAACCCATAAAACGTGTTGTTAATCCACAAGGCATGTTGTTAACCCATCGGGATTGCTAATAATATCTAGAGTTGATGATAACCCATAATTGTTTATTATGTTTTGTTGTATGGATATTTTAGAAAAGACTCACTAAGCTTTATGCTTATAGTTATGGATTAAATTTGTTTTAGGTACTTCGTATGATTGCAGAAACGTCAGGCTTGACTGTACACTTCGACTTGCTGATTTTATGGTTATCGTATTTTGATACTCTGATTTGGGATAACTATATTGATAGACATGGGATTTTTCTTGATTTGGTTTTATGATACTTGAAGTTTGTGCTAAAATAAAAAATGAAAATTTTGTGGTAAAAATCAGTATGTTACAGAACTCATATCTCTTACTGATTCTGCCATTATTATTCCTTTGAAAATTACAGATTTCGAATGTTAAGAAATAGGGTATCAGAATAACAACATACACTTCGTTAATTTATAGGATCATGTTACCCGGGGAACACAAATTCAAATGTAGGATAATCCAAGAATGAAAGCAATTGGAATTAGAGGACTAATTTGAATCAAGAAACACATAATATATTTGTTTGTTATGTGTTCTTCAAGATGGAGAAATGCAAAGTTATCCATATGTAAGTATATGGATTGTAAACTTTGCATCAAACATCGATGTTCCTTTTATAGAAGAAAGATGGTGGTTGGAAGTTGATTATTCTTCCTTCTTGGCGCCAAAAAGTTGGTTAGGATGGTACTTATACACAAAATGGCGCCAAAATAAGTGGTTACAATGGTGGTTATAAGACAGCCAACTATTACATCATCATGATGTAATAGAAATTCGTTTAGGTTTCGCGGGGTAGCCTTAAGCCCCACAATTGGACACCACAAGGACACTACCCCTTTCAATGAGTAAATATAGTTCAACTATTTCGATATTAATAATAACTACCCTAAAATATATTGATAACATTAACATTACCACCAAACACGAAATAGGTTAAAGGTTATATGCATAACTACACATTTCTAATTTTGATTTTACAAATAACTTCCGTATTTTTAAGGGGTTCAATTAATTTTTTTACGACATGAGCCAAGGTTCAACTTTCTAAGAATGAGCCTATAAGAACCATAAAAATCGATCAAAGCCAAGGTTAGAGTTATCAAACTTTTATAACTTTATAAGCTTTAAAAAAGAAATTGTGTAACAATGAAATTAGGTTTATAAAATGCATATTGTGGTTTCCATGCATTGAAATCGATGGTCAATTCATTTCGTATATTCTACTTATCATGTCCCTCTTGGACGGCTTCTATCCTAACCACATCCTCAAAGTCCAAGTATCTTATCATTCAATACATACATTCACAAAGACAAAGACAACCCACATGAGTCCCCATTCTCTCTACATTTAATGCAAACACACATGGGGCACATCTCAATCTCTTTAGACATTCTGTTCCCAAATACCAATCTTCAACATATCATATACTTTTAACACATTTCATCAATCTCATAACAAAAACATGAACAAATTTCATCACTTGTTTGAAAGGATCTCATCAATCTCACCTTTCTCATTATACATAGCCACAAGTTTCTTTGCATATGATGGCATGTGTCTTGCAGCTCTGTGTTCATTAGATTTATCAAATTAAATCCGACTCATGATTAATTTCATAAATAAATAAATAAATAAATAAAGACTCCAAAACATACCTTTCTTTACCCCATGTCCTGTTCACATATAAATAGTTTCTGATGGTATGATAATCGAGCGAATAGCGAGCAAATTCAAGACCTTTTGGCCCAATCTGAAAAGGACTAAAGAGTTAGAATCTTTATCATGTTTTTTTTTGTAATAATATATGATGAACTCTTACTAGATTTAGTATAAATGCAATAATGTTTCCTATAAACTTTGGAGCAGGCTGAGCAGGACCCTTTCCTGAAAATGAAATCAATACATAACAAAATAAATAAAAAAAATAAAATAAAAAAAACTCATGCTTGGATTCGAAGATCGAGATTAATGATAGAAAAAAAGAAAATGAAAGTATTTTGCTATTTCTTGCATTAAGATCAAATAATAATTACCGAGTTTAGCATTATCGTCTGCCTTCACGGTTTCCATGACAAAAGGACGTCTCCCGCCCTGAAGTAAACAATTGTGGTTAGTTATACTTAGGGATAATGACATTAAAGCCCTTACGTTTGGCAGAAATATGCGGATTTACCCTTTTGTGGATTTTAGGTTTACTAATACCGGATACTTCCACCATTTTGTTTAATTTTACAATTTCGTATATTTGTGGTTTATTAAAGCCTTTACACTTGGTAGAAATATTCGGTTTTACCGGATAAATCTGCAAAAAGGGTAAAACTGAAGAAAAAAAAAAGTTGCAAGTATCCGGTATTAGTGAACCTAAAATCCAAAAAATGGTAAATTCGCACATTTTTGTCAAACTTAAGGGCTTTTATATCATTATCCCTTATACAGATGACTTGTATCTGATATGAGGAAAACTAAAGATTAGGATTTTACTCCACTTATTGTAGGGGTGATCTCCAGTAGATTCTTGACCAAGTTCAGCATTTCTCTTCCACGTTCATTTCTGCAATTTGAATGTTCAAAAGGTAAGGATTAATTCCCTGAAATAGAATGTATTTACATTGATTTGTTTATTATGGAACCTTACATTCTTTTCTTATTATTACATCATCACACTGTAAAAAATGTACCCAATATAGCAATGTCATATAAATATGAAACCATTTTCACTGCTGTAACTGGATAGGTTTTTCAAAGTATAATGCCCATGTAAGAATATATAATGCTATTATTGGGTAGGTTTTTTATAACACAAAATAAGAAAAAAAAAATCATAAGTATAATGAAATTTAGAGAATATATAAAAAGGGAAGCATCGTTCTTCACCTCACTGTAATATATTGTGGATGTTGTGTCATGCTTACTCCAGAATATTTTGGTACCCCCATGTACCCCACCACCAAATCCTGAATTTAAGGTTATTTTGGAGGGCATTTATGTCTTTTGCACAAACAAAAAATTGAGAAAGAAAGTCTCTATCCCACATTTTTGGTTTAGACAAAAAGTTGCAGTCTTTGTCTCATTGACATCAGTCTGAGTCCCAGTCACACTGGACAAACATAGTACAGCTTGTCATGTCATAATAGATTAAATTTAATGACAGGGGAAAGACTTACAGCTACTGCATTTGTGTAGTCGAAACAACTGAAAAATGAAAAGAATAAGTTATTCTAGTGGCCTCTTTGAAGATTAAAGAAACTTATATAAAAATTTAAAAAAAAAAAAATAAAACATGGAGAGGGATGGAGGGTACCTGTAGCACGATGGTGCTATAACATCAACCAACTCATTTGCTGGCAGAGAGAAATAGGGAACCTGTTTAAGTTAAAATTTAAAAAAAAAAAAAAAATGGTAATTGGAGTTTAAAGATAATGGAAAAAGGAAAGTGGAGAAGTTTAAGGTTATTGGCCATGGTACCTCTTCTATATGACCATCTAAATGCTTCAAATGGACCTACCAACATGAAAAGACATATATATATATATATATATATATATATATATATATATATATATATAACAAAAGTTAATATTTTTATGATAAGTAAATTATAATATGTTGAGATAAAGTGTTAAATACCTTATAATCTTGCATAAACTCATAATGAAGAACTGTATCTGGATCTGTGCTAGCAGCTCGTAGAAACTTATCTAGACCATCTCGTGTTCCATTATCCACTACAACCCAAAAAAAAATTAAATGGTATTTTATTTACTTATTTTGCACATATGAATTTCATGATTTAATAAATTGTAAAATTCATTCCATTAACACTTAACAGACTATTATAACATAAAAAAAGAGGTTATGAGAAGAGAAGGTACAAGTTACCACAATTAGTCCCCAGCACATAAAGCTTGTCCAAGTTCAAATATTTCTCAACTGATCGTAGTGCTGCAGATTAACAAACTAATCTGCATTAAAATAGTAAAGTCACAAGAACGAAAAATATTACCATATCATAACACAATAATACACAAAACCTCATATCATATCATATCATATCATATATATATATATATATATATATATATATATATATATATATATATATATATATATACCTTGTACTTGGCATCCAACACCACAGAACAGCAGACGCTTTACACCTGCTGCCTCAACCATAGCAAGTGTATTAAGGTTAGGAGACAATGTCGGTTTTACCCCTTTTGCTGCTAGAACTTCCTCAGGTGTCCTATATCAAAAAAACAAAAAACAAAAAGTATTAAGACTATTAAAAAAAAGGCGAGAAATTATGTTTTTAGAAGCTCTAAAAAAAAAAAAAAAAAAAGGATGAGTATCTTCGGTACCTTGCCAAAACAGGTCTTGGGGACAGTCTGTCGTCTGGATCACTGACATGAATCGAACAAGAATTCAACATAAAAGTTGTTACAGTCTACCACAAAACGATATAAAAAATAGTTATGCACTTTTAATTGTTTGTTTGTTATAGCATCCTACTTTCATTACTTCCTATTACAGCATTGTACTTTGAGAAATCTACCCCATTACAGCAATATCATACAAATACAATGCAATTTCCATTGCTATAATTGAGTTGATTTTTCAAAGTATAATGTCCTAAATCCTAATAAGAAAAAAAAAAGACTGAAAATACAATGCTGTAAAAAGTATAATGTGTTGACAAGAAAAAGAAAGTACAATGTTTGATAGAGAGAAATGGAAATAGGATGCTATAATACGCAGATAAATGAAATTATGTTGTTATTTTTTGCATTTAGCCATAAATTTATTACCTCTGGACACAAATTACAGCTTCAACCATGCCTGATTTCAACATTTCAATTGCAATAGTTGTGACTATCCCTGTCCATTGAGCTCCTAGCATCATAAATTCAGTTCTTTTCAGTTTTCAGGATTCAAGATTGAACAACTTCATAAAATACGTGAAAACGGTGTTTTATGTATTTTTTTTAAAAAAAAAAAAGGAATGGAGAGTGTGTTTGGATAACAGGATAAAAGCTAAAAGAATAATCAATATCTGGATATAAAGATAATATGATTTCCATATCAGAACGTGTTAATAATTTATGAATGTTAATGAGGTATAGAATATAGACACCCCATATAAACCAAACACAAGTTTAAAGACAAAAATATGACCTTCTACAGGCGTTGTTTTACGAGCATAAAGTAGCTCTTCATGAACACCAAAATATGTTTCATCTAATGAATCAACATTCCGACCTCGGCCATGAACCACTTGTTCTAGCCCCTGAACCGAAGAGCAAGAAGGGTTTAATCGGAAAGGACTGAGAGCACAGAAAATATTATAAACTCACTTCAATCCTTGACATTCCATCTCCCAAGAAAGCACAGGCATTCTTCACATGAGCAATGTAGTAAGAATCACACAATCCACACTTACTGCAAGAACAAGAAATTTGTAATCGAACGCTTCAACAGAAACCCTAATTAGTACGTTTAGGAACGAAGATATCATCAAACTGAATCGCTGCTCAAAAATAAGAATATTAGACAAGTACAGAAGGAAATGTAGGAGATTAATATAAATAAGATGGAAAAGGATTGTAAAAAGAACCTGCACTGATCTTTAGCTGGGTATGTGCCTCCAGGAGGTATAGGTTTGGATCGTTGCCTCCAATCGTCTCTCAATTTTACTGAACTCCCATTTGTATCTGTAGTTATCATGATTGAAAACAACATATTAGAATTCCGAAACTGTTTTCAGTGAAAGATCAACAAACAGATTGAACCTTTAGAAGATGAAGCTGAAATTATAGATGGCTGTAAGGGCAACGAGCAGAGTCTTGCACTGAAAATAGCCATGGGTGTAGTGTAGAGTGAAGCTGAGTTTAAGAGTGAGTTGTTTTCCGCCACATATATATGTTGTTTGGAGAGAAACTAATATCTGTACCAGCACGCGTCGTTTCAACAGGGCTGTTTGTTTTTTTTTTTTTTTTTCTAAATCTGTTCAATCATTTTTGTCTACAGGCGCCATGTGCTCTCACAATATGTTTGTTTTTTGGAAAGGCTTAGATCAAAAAATGTTGTGACATCTTCCGATGTTTGTTTTTTTGGAAAGGCTTAGATCAAAAAATGTTGTGACATCTTCCTCAACACAGACATGAGTAAGTATCTTTAAAGGTTTTCAGATTTTATTTTAACTTATACCAAAAAAAAAAAAAAATGGGCCAACGTGCAGTTTTTTTTTTTTTTTTTTTTTTTTTGCTAAAAATGCATTATTAATGTTTATGACATAAAATTAAGTTTGAAAAATCAATTTATTTCAACAGCTGCAGACATTAAAAACAAACAATCTTCTTATTGCAGATTGCAGACATTTGGTCCACCTCTACTGCCGCAGAGGCTTGCAGATGTTGTCCGCAGACTGCAGATATTTTGGCTTCAAAAAAACAAACAACACTTATATAAATTATTTGAAGTAACATTTATTTTTCCATTTTTTTTCATATATATAAGACCAATATATATACGAGCAGCAGATTCTTAAAGAAGCTCTAGCAGATTCTTAAAGAAGTAAGAACAAGGGCATGTTTGATATACATCTAGAAGCAAGAATAATGGTCTTTTAGATATATCTTTTACTGGTCCAGTAAGATCTGACTCACTCCAAGTCGGTGCATTTGATTACCTCATATTTTGCCTCTTATTCGATCCACAAAAAATAAGATCTATTCGGTCATATGTTCCCTTTAAAGAAGTAAGAATAAGGGTATGTTTGATATACTTTTTATTGGTCCAGTAATATCTGATTCGGTCCAGGTCAATGAGTTTGATTACCTCATATTTTTACCTCGTATTCGGTCCACAGAAAATAAGGTCTGATTCAGTCATATGTTTCCTTTAAAGAAGTAAGAATAAGGATCTGTTTCATATACTTTTTATTGATCCAGTAAGATCTTATTCGGTCTGGGTCAACGTGTTTGATTACCTCATATTTTGCCTCTTATTCGGTCATCAAGGTCTGATTTGGTCCACAGAAAATAGATGATGACTAGAATGTACAAACTTATTTGCCTTAATTTTTTCCTTCATCTTCTCCTTCCCAGCTACGTTCCTTCTCTTGCCTATCTCTAACATATGCAACAGTTGCGCCTCCCACTGCTATCTGTGTCGTTCCCACTGTTATGGTCATGATTATGTGTTTTAGTTATTTATTAGCATTAATTGTATGTTATTGTAATGTGTAGGAAGAGCAGTTTCTGATGTGTTGATTTCCAACATATGGGAAGTGTTTAATGGGAAGATAGAGAAAGGCAGGGACAAACCTGTAATTTCATGTTTTGAGTTTATTAGGGAGTATCTAGTGAAGAGGATATGTAATGTCATGAAAGCAATGAATAAGGCTAAAGGTTCATCAACACCTACAGCAACAGACATCCTAGATGCAAGGAAAAAAGGTGATTCGCAATATATTGCTAGGTGGAATGGGGCAAACAAGTATCAAGTCATTGGAGCTTTGCAAGATCAGCATGTGGTGGATGTTAGGAACCAAACCTGTGTTTGTAGAAAGTGGGCATTAATGGGAATACCTTGCAGGCATGCAATAGCAACTCTAAATGAAATGAGCAAAGACCCTGAGGCTGAGCTTGACATTTACAAGTGGGTACACAAGGTGTATTGGCTAGAGACATGGCAAAAATCTTATTCATTTAAGGTGAAGCCAATTAAAAGGAGACCCATGTGGCCTAAAAGTAATTGTCCAACAAAGCAAATCCCTCTTCCACATCGCACTCAGGTAGGAAGGCCTAAGAAAAAAAGAAGACAATGTGAGGGTGAAAGGTTAAGCAAAAGGCAGAAGGCAAGTCAAGTGATGGAGTCAATGAGATGCAAGGACAAGATTCCCAAGGACCAACAAATGATGGAGTGCAGAAGCTATTAAGGAAGCATATCAGTGTTACTTGTAGGAAATGCAAGAATAAGGGATACAACTTTAGGACCTGTAAAGGGAAAGGTGGGAATCAGTCCAAGAAGTGATTTTGGTTGTTTGTTGTGGTGCAATGACTATTTAGTTGTTTGTTGTTAAAAACTGTTTGTTTTTTAATACTTTTAGTTATGGTTTGATTATGTGGTTATGTATGGTGCACAAACACTTGTATGCTTAATTTGGTAATTGTTTTTGGTTCCACTCATGTGGTTAATAAAATGTGCATTTTGGTCAAATTATGACACGTATTTTGGTAATGTACTATTGTTACATTTTGGTTATATTTTGTCACACTCCTGAACCAGGACGGCGGAAACATCTAGGGGCGGATGACGTCATTGTATAGTATCACAACAGTTGTATATAAATGAAACATAGCAACCCAAACAGCATACATTAAGAATACAAGCTTACTTAGTTTACATACTGTGTTTGTTCAAAAGTTACACAATAATGACTGAAAAGTAAAATTCCATAATGCAACAACACTTGATCTCAAAAGAGGTGAATACTTGTTACTGGTTCCCTGAGAATATAAGTTATTTTGAAAATCGTCAACAATAATGTTGGTGAGTTCATAAGCATTTTTTTTATGAAAAGGGTTTGTAACTGCTTTGTTTAAAATAATTTTGTATGTTTCCAGAAAATCTGATATTTTCTATAAAATAGGTTATTAGTCTAATAACCAAGACTAAAAATTTATGAATGTCCTTTGTATCTTTATCCCTGTGGAGTGAATAAGTATGTATGTTTCTAGAAAATCCGATATTTTCTTATATGTGAACTGTGATATTAAACCCTAAGACCAGAAATGTAAGAAATAGTGTACTAAAAAGTAGTATCTAGTTTTATATTTTTATAAAATCGATGAAGTGTAAGCTTCTCGTAAACCAAGATAGTATTGTTAATCCCTATGTGAGTTATTATAACCATGATTGATGTGACTGTTATGCATGTACGACGTTCTTCAGGCATCAGAATTGGTAGATATTTGTCACCCTAGACTAGCCCGTCTAGTTGTAGCGAACAGCTTAGGTGTGGGGTTGTCAATCCCGTATAGATCTATACATAACTATCTCGCTCTCCCTCTAGTAGACTCTGGTTATAATGCTGGACTTAAAGTGTACGCTAGGTAGGTACGCTGAAGAGAATTTCTCACTAAAGCATTAACAGATTTACGTGAACTATGACTCCCCTTTCCTTGAATAATGAATTAGTTACACTATTGAAAATTTATGACATGTGTTTTATGACACCCAAACTATACCATTTATAGTTAGCCTTGTATGCTTTTTGTGTAAACTATTTATATAAATTTTATATAAATATCGAGTTGAGATCTTGTCTAGTGGTAATATATGTTGTTAAAACATAATATTCTTGGGTTTAACCCACTAAAACAGTAATGACTAAAAATATGACACTTTTACTAGAAAAGCTATTTTTAGCAAAATTACCTAAATTTGTTGTTTTGTCCTTCTCATATGTTACCGGTTAATGTTTGTATCACAAAAATAGTTTATGTTTGTCAACTTTACCATCCCAACCTCACTGGTCACGATTTTTATAAAAAGAAATGGTGACTTTAACATTTTTATACAAATATTTATACAAATTTCAAGTAGTAAGAATGAGACATGCAAGTATCCAAAGGACAAACATATTTTGACATTTATATATATATATATATATATATATATATGTGTGTGTGTGTGTGTGTGTGTGTTTTTGTTATCCTTGTGTGTATCCTCCCATAAAAGCATGAAAAACTAAAAAATGGGGGTATAAAGCTCACCTTGGGTTGGTTTTGTGGATGATTTGAAGTGGATTGAAGGAGATTTCGAGCCTAAGATGGAGATGATGAACTTGAAGAGCTTATTGGGGATGCTAGTATCCTAGTGAGTTTAACACACGAAAATGTGTGTAAACATGGTGAAATCCAACATAAAATCACATAGAAAAGCTTGAAGTTCATGAAATAACTTACCTAAAGCTCAAAAATTTGAAGAAGAAAGGAAGTTCTTTGGGGTCTCTAGCTTGCCTTTGAGAGAAGAATGGAGAGTGAAGAAATTGAAGCCTTTGAAGTGGGGCAAATGGCCTCTCGGCCAAGGTACTTATGGAGAGAGAGGACAGAGAGGGTTCTTGTTGCATGAGGGGTATTAGGGTGTGTAGTATGGATGTTTGGAGAATATTTGTTTGCCTTGCATTGTTATTTGATGGTCAAAGAGATGTAAAGCTTGAAGAATCAAATCACCTAAGTCAACTTTTTGGGTCTTGTACCCTAACCGAATCCACTAGCCAAGGTGGGGTGGTATTCGGTTTTTGGCTTGCATGGGAGAGGGGTTTTCGATTTTTAGACCATGCATGGGAGGGTTTTCAGCCTTAAGGTGGCCCATGGGGTTGTTTTCGGTTCCTAAGTCTCCAATAGAAGGGTTTTCGGTCAAGAGGTTTTCTTGGCCGAAAACCTTAAAGCAATGTCCCTCTTTGATTAATATTTAGCTATTTGATCTAATTTGAGCTTCTAAGAGTTTATTACCAACATGATTCTTAGTGTATGCATACATGTACTCATATAACATTTCCATTTTTGAATTACAAGAATCATTTGCATCGAGATTACATTGAATATTCATTTGTACATGGTTACTATCTAGACTTTACTTGACTCTAAATTTACTAGTTGTCACATATTTATGTGCTTATATTTGACTATTGATACACATTTTCACACTAAAATATCATTTATATCATTAACAACATTGGAATTCATTACAAACATGATGATGTCAACTTACAACAAAATGATACCATTTTTATACCAATACATTGGAATTCATTACCCTGCATCACTTGATCAACAAAAAACCTCGCATTTGTCTAACCCTATCCCTTACGTAGACCAAATACTAAAGGTAACAATCACAAACATAAACCAACTTGCACATAAATACATCTTCAGCTTGAAATCTTCATCCTTCAATGCATCACACCTTACCTCCAACATGTTGTTCCTACTTAAAAGTTCATTGCATTGTTCATGTAACATGTTGATACTTCTTACCAGCCCATTACACCTCCCCTCTAACGTATTGATGTTTCT